TAAGTTTACATGACTTTCAGGGAGAAGGGGCCCATGATTTAAGATTGTTTCCTTCATTTTGGAAAAATTAGCAAATGCACAGTTGACGATAGCAGGTGGGCTCTTCAGGCAGTGTCTTTTCAGAACAAAGAAGTGGGTATACTTGGTTAGGGTTGAAGGTGTTGCCTGAACCACTCAGTTTGCTTTTTACATTATTATCAGCCTGTTTTCACATCCAGTAGTATAATACAACTGTTTAATTACATGGATATTACACTGCACGCATATATTTTGAAATGTGTTTTGTGACTCCATGCCTTCCCCATCCCCCCAAGATAATCTGATAGCATCAGAAAGAGCTCTATGATTTCTGCTAAGTCTGGTAATTAGCCAGATAAGTAGACCTAGCCTCTGAGAAATGTGTATACTAATAGTCTTGTTCCTTTCTCTGCCCTCATTTAGTAAACCTTGTGTTCAATGTCTTTTTATCCACTTCTGAAAACTTAGATCTGGGATGAGAAGAGTGTAGGTCTCTAGATATCATTTGACTCCAGCCCCTATTAGCCTCAGCCAACCATGAGCATGGGTGTTGTCCAGGAATATCTGGAAGATTACACTTTGTCCACCCCTGCCGTAAATTCTTTCTCTAGTTCTGTGTGCCCCTGTAATGGCTCTTGGACATGCTTAGCCCATCAGAGGCAGAGATGAGATCAGCTGTTCAACTTGTACTCAACATCTAAGCTTTGCTGCCCATGTGACATGAAGAAGATTGAGGTTTATTCACAACATGAAATAAAGGTAGTTGTCTTGGCTAGAAAAATAAAACAAAAATCTCAAAATCCATATGTTTCAAGGTCAAATGGGGGGGGTGTCACATGAAATGTTTAGATTTCTGAGTTCACTAAATCTCTTCATGACACAAGATGTTACAAAGAGCAGGTTACTAGAGAGTGAGTGCAGACTGGAAAAGAGAGAAAGGTAGTGATGTTGAAGAAGTCATGAGGTCTGAATGGCCACAGAGTTCAGATGAATTAAGGAATAAGGAGGGAGCTGCGGAAATGCAAAGATGCTACCAGGTGATGCTGCAATGGAGGCTAGCAACTCCAGTTTTGCAGGGGTAGTGAATCTGCTCCAAGTCTTAGTTTGAACATTTAAGTAGCTATCCAAGGTTCTGAACTTATTTTGGAGACCAGGCTCATCCCTTTTGATAGATTTTGTACAGTTTGGATTAAATCAGAGCACATTCAGTCTCCTCATGAGATCGGAGTCAGCAGCTTCCACTCTGATGTACTGGTTTGCCAATGACTGAGATTATGAAACAAAGAAACAGTGGTTATCTACTGTTTTTGAAAATATGAAATCCAGCTGTGACTTGGACCTCTCTCCATCTTTTTGGAAATCATACAGGGTCTCTGGTAGGCAGAAAACAGAACAGTGGTTTTTTAAAATTAAATTAGATAATTATATATGTGCGGTAGCTTGAAAATGGTGGTTACATAAGAAAGCACTAAGACTGGTGACTTACACTGATCTCTCGGCTAGATGGGACTGGGTGCTGGAGGGAGTTGAAAAAGATTATTGCACCACTTTGTGCAATTGCCAGCATCTATTATGGTTATTTGATTACACTGCATCTCAGAGACACACTTTTGTATGCAGGTATTATAAAAGTAATACAGAAGGATAGTATTATTGAACTGATTGCTCTACTTTCTACTCTGAGTTCTACATAAAGAAATTTGAAACCAAAGTGGAGAACGAGAGAAGGTCAAATGTAATAAAAGAAGCAATCACTGTAAACAAGACCACCATAAAGCCGATACCAAGATGTTAGAAGCAGAAAAATAGCATATGTATGAAATACATTTCATTCAAGTGCCAAACTGCACTACATTCTAAAAAGTGTAAAACCTTGATAAAAACCTGGTAGGAGAATGGGAGTGAGGCAGATAGAGTTATTGCTGAGACTGATGCCTGAAAAATGGGCTGTTCCTGGATTACATAGTATTAGAGATGGATATGAGTCAGAAAAATTGGGATTTGATTTGTGATTCGGCAAGGTTAACAAATTACAAATTATGAATTTCTAATTTTTTTCTGACAAATTTATAAATTGTCATTTTTTTTTACTTTAAAATCCTATAAAATTATAAATTGCCAAATTTTTTTACTTTAAAATCCTATAAAGTAAACCCCGTAGCACCTAGAGACACCAAATTCACACAGAAGCTTCCCCGTAACCCCCGCAGCACCTAGAGACACCAAATTCACACAGAAGCTTCCCCTGACTCTCCTCTAAGTGGTGAAGTGATGAAGATTGGACTTCATCTAAGTCAAGTGAAGTGGTGCAGAAACCCAATCTTCACCAAACTTGGAGGCGGACTTCATCTAAGTGAAGTGAAGTGGTGAAGTGGACTTCAGACATTCCAGTTATAAACCCACAAAGTGAGTCCCCCCAGGAAAGTGCCCGCACGTGCGGAAACCCAATCTTTACCAAACTTGGAGGGATTGTAGAAGAGAATCAACAGATATTTCTCAGTGATTTAGGTTTCTCTAGGTGCTTGGGGGGAACTTGCCTGGGGGGTTCTTTGCAGATGTACAACTTGGACTTCTGAAATCCAATCCAATATACACCATCCAATATATTTCACAATTGTTTTATCCAATTCCTCTTCAAGTTTTGCAAAAGAACTAGGAATTTCTTTGGTTTAGTTACTGTTTGGAATGAACGGTGCTGGGTTTAAAGTAGCTTGGAAGGCACGTTGTCTATTGCGAAGACTTGACTTCTTAATCATAACAACCTGAGGGCACGGCTTGTGGTCAGTTAGTGAGGAGGGAAAGACCTCATCCTCTTGGTATCAACTGATTTCCATGCAGAGCTAAACTCTGGCATTATAAAGCTGGTCCGTGGCCAAGAGCTGCACACTGCAGGTGCTCAGAAATAGGTCTTCTCTTTATGATCATGTCATATATGTTGCAATTTTGTGTTACATGATGTCCTAGTTTAGAGTTTTCTATGCCATCCTGATAAATGTTATTGAAAGCTAAGACAGAAATTTGAGAGAGAGAGAGAGGACAGAACAGGACGTTTCCATCTCCCCCCCCACACAGTAGACACCAGTCCTCTGAAAATAATGTGCAGGTGACTGTGCTTATTGGATACCTCAAAATTGTGTACAGGCTACTTGCTAGAATGCTTTTCGACCACCCAGCAAATGCAACCCTTGGGAGTGCTAGAAAGACTCTATCTTTGATGGGGCAACCATGTTTCCATAGTATGTTTCTCCCGATTTATACAAACATGATACTCACATGTGTGTGCTGTTGTAGACAAGAGGAGCCAGATATGGTGGGCAAGAAAGATTTAATTTTTAGGGAGCAGCTACTAATCAGGTTCCTAAATACAAAGAAACCAATCTGCAGTGCCCCCCCATGTGCAGTGCAGGGGCATCCCCATATGAATCAGGCAACAACAGGTGAGGAAAATACAAGACCAAGAAAATCCTCATAAATTTATAATTCTATTTTAGAAGATTTGAACAGGTCTGCCGAGGACAGGACCAAAGACAAGTCACTCATAGGGTCACCACCATCAACTGGAACTGATTTGATGACATATAACAAGGATAAAACATCCATGAGGGATCTTTCATCATTATCAACCAGAGGGGAAATGAAGAAATCTGGCCAACTCTATGATCCGAAGTAGCAAGAATTCAGGAATGATGCTGCTGTGCACTAAAAGCAACCTTAGCAGCATGAATGATGAGAATTTAGGCGCTTCAGGTACCATTTTCCAGGGCTGGGACTTGGCAGCAGACTTAGTAGAGTCACAGTGTAAATCATGCCCATGCACATTTGCAGAGTGTCTTCCCTATTGCTCCGTTGTGCTGTTGCAACTGTACAGATCCACGCAGCTTTTTACAAATAGCTGAATAATGCAGAGAATGATGTAGAAGATCACACAAAGGAGAAACAAAAACGTTCCAAAGGGCAAGGTGGCCATAGGTAAAAGACAGGAGAAAGACTGTACTTTTGTGGCAGGGCTCCTATCTCTTATATGCAGCTGGAGAGACTTTTTTCGACCTAAGGGGCCTAATTCCAACTTGGAAAATAACGCACTGGCGTATTCCAGCAGTGGGTTGGGCAAAAGGTAAGGCCAAGAGCAGAGCAGGTGAGCTAATGTTCTTATCATATAGGATGTGTGGCCACAAAGTGCAAACAGTAAGCAGCCTGAAACAGGTGGATTGCACACATCTGGTAAAGGGTCCCAAAAGTGAATCCTGAGCAACTACTGCTCAAGGGCCTGCATAGTGCAGAGCAGGTTTCCATTCAGCAACTATTAGGAGCCCAGGTGAACTGGAAAGTGCTCTGCTGAATTCCATACAACAGCTGGAAAGGGCCCAACACTGGCACGGAGCCTGCAAAGTTTATTGCTGAATATGATGCCATAACTGGAAAAGTGGACTGCTGAATTCCATGGGGAGACTGGCGGTACAGCCGCACTGGCAAAGAGTTTGCATAGTTGAATAACAGAACAGCTGGGCAGAGAGCAAGCAATGGCAAAGAGCCCACAAATGAATTCCTCTCAGCAGCTGGCAAATGAATAGCCAAATTCAATGCACAGGTTCACAGAGAGCTCAGAAAATGCACAGCTTAGTTTTTGCAGGAGTGGCATTGATTACTGGTTAGAGTGACAACTGAAGAAATCTGTGTTTAGGTGGGAGAACTTTGGGCCAAAAATGCCTTAGTGCGACAGCTTTTTGACAGGAAGAAATTCAACCTGTATTTCCTTCTCGAGCATAAGAACTTTATCTCTGAATTTTTCCTCGCTACAGAAGTGTTTAAACTACAGGATTCCTTCCCAAGCAGAGCAATCACAGATGAAAATAAAACATCACTGATGCTGAAACCGTGTCCTAAATAGTATTTTGCCAGTCTAAGGGTGAAAAGTCAATACCTGTTGGGAAAGTATTTGTTTGTTTGTTTGTTTATTGAAACCGAAAGAAAAATCCTGCCAGTGAAATTAATGCAATGATGTCTGTTCTTTATTTTGTATTGTTTAATGCTTTTAAAAGCTTTTTAATTTTTAGAAGTTATTGCAGAAACACAAAGGAAATTGAAGTATCAGTCAAAAATATCTTGTTTGTCCTATTTAAATCTCATCTCCGTGAGCTTTCATCATTCCATATTTTCAGTCTCTTCATATCAACTTACAGTTGCCTTATTTATTTTTCTTATTTTGTATTTCTCATGAAAAGGTTTGTGTTCGTGGCACAGATTTTTAAGAAGATCAAAGGCTCTCTGGAACATCGAAGCAAAGTCTTGTCTTGTCCAGCATTCCCACAGTATTCTAAGAATTCTGTCTAGGAATGCACTGGGACACTTTCCAGTGTGTTCTTAAGCAACTAGTAAACTAAGGCAGACTTCTCCAGCATTAATGGTACCACATAGCAATCATGATAGCAATGATGTCCACTGATAACCTCACTCTCCTTTGTTACCTTTCTCAAGGGTGGAAGTTTGCTTAAAATAAATTCCACTAGCCGACTGATCTGGCTGGGGCATGACAGGCAGAACTGAAAGTTGGTTATGAAAATCACTCTTTCCACCCATGGTCTTTATCTGGACCTATGATGACATTTTTCTGCATGACGTACCCTTTCTCTGTTGCATGCAGAAGTTGGGGTGGTATTAAACTCTGCTTTGTGAAATAGCAGGAAGGAAATGGATCAGGTTGAGTGAATCAAAGAAAAACAAGAGGAAACTGTATGAAGCACAGCAGTTCTTAGTATTGTTTAAAAGACTATTTGGACCAATGCTTTGGTATCAGTACTATGTGCTTTGTAGCAGTGTGGTGTATTAGAAGTATGTTTCCTGTACGTGTGCTGGTTATAAGTGTAGAGTATCAAATTAGAAAAAAAAATATGTATAGGCATCTATTGACCCCAATTTCATCTCTGCTCCAATATGCTTCATTTTACTTTTCTCTCTTTTTCTAGATGTGTGTTCTGTGTTGATTCTACCCCTTCTCTTCCCTGCCCTGGTGTTTGTGTGCCTTCTATCAGCAGTACCATGGGATCTGTTGCATTTGGTTCTAGCAATTCAGCTGGTTATTATCATGCAAGTGAGAGAGGCATTAAAAGCAATGACCCCCAAGCAGCAAATTCCCCCCCTCAGCCCCACCCTATCTTAACATTGCCCCAGACTGGGCTTTTTGCCCTGGAACATGGGCCATAGGTCAGGTCAGGTCAGATAATAACTTATGCCACTGGGAGATGGCGCAAAAGCATTCACTCCTCGCTCGGATGCTCTCCCAAATTCCACTTCTCTAGTTTCTCTTGGTAATTACCAATGTCTTCGTATGTATCAGCCATTTCAACCATCAGCCCCTGTACATGAACAAGAGTCGGATTAAGAGGCAGAAGGAAAAAAAAAATGCAGGAAACGAGGGCCGTGTCATTCCCAATGAGACGTCCAGAATTTTTGGCAGTGTTCTGTGCTGGAAGCATTTAGAGCACTGGTTCCCAATCTTAGGTCCCCAGATGTCCTTGGACTAAAATTCCCAGAAGCCTTCACCACTAGCTGTGCTGGCCAAAAGTATATTAAAACACTCTCTGGGGATAATAGTGGAATTCCCTTTACATGCTACTTGCTAGCCAGTGGCATAGCGATGAGTGTGAGACAGAACTTCCTCCATGCAGAGAGAAGCACAGAAAACATCTGGTGAAAAGGAGGGAAGAAGCAGGTCCTGATCATGTGGGGAAGGAAATGGGGGATAGAGCCCTGACAGCCTGGTCCCAGTGGGAAATTCTGACTCAGGGACCAATCCAATTCAACACCCCTAATACATCCTTTCTTTCCTGTCACTTGTGTGCGTGCCAAGGCAACCCACCACCATCACATACTTTTTATTCTGCACCTGATTCCCTCCAACAGGTTATTGCAAATATTTCTTCTCCTCTGCTTTGGATGAAACCCCTCTATATTCCTGCCCTTCATGTTCTCTCCTCAGAAAGGACAACCCTTTTTTTTTGCCTTTCTGTTTCAGAAAAAGCTTTACTCTTTTGCTTACCTCATAAGTGTGGTCCTCATGAGATGTATCCTTACTGCCACCCTGAAATGGAACAGAAGAACATTCTAGTTACTAAATGTTGATTCATTTGAAAGTAAATGGGCTTTAAATAATGTTTCTTTTTATTTGCGAAGGCTTTCATGGCCATGATCAAATGGTTGTTCTGGGTTTTTTGGGC